CGAATCGAGATGAACATCACTATATTTGAACTCGATTTAAATAACTATTCGAACTCAAAATCTAGTTCATGTTTGAGTTCGAACTTTATACATTTCTTTAAAATCTTATAATTGTCAATGGAGGTTAGGACATTTTAGGGATGAAAAAAATGTTGGTGTAATCATTTAGCTTTATGAGGTTGTACATTGTGTTTTTCCTTTGGGAAAACTGTCAAATAGGTCTCGAACTTTCATAAAAAAGTCAATTAAGTCCTTCTATAGGAGAATCTGTCCGGTCGTCGCGATTTGAGTCGGTTCCCGGTGGAATTTTTTGATGAATTTTTTTCAGCATCTTATTCATCAATTCTAGTTTACTCATACCAAATTTCAGCTAAAAATTCAATCGGGAACACATTCAAATTAATTCTTGAAGATAACTGCGCATTTTTGCGTTCTCGAATTAATTTGAATGCGCTCCCGATTAAATTTTTAGCTGAAATTTGGTATGAGTAAACTAGACTTGATGAATAAGATGCTCAAAAAAATTCATCAAAACATTCCACCGGAAACTGACCCAAATCGCGACGGCCAGACATAATCTCCTATAGAAAGACTTAATTGACCTTTTTATGAAAGTTCGAGGACCTATTTGACAGTTTTCCCTTTTCCTTTTGTACAATTTTAAGGGGAATTTATTTTGCCATTAATCTCCGTTCAATCCCTCCCGTTTGTTCCAGCATGGGTTATCTCCGCTTCCTTCATTGAGCTCCCGTTTATTTCGACTCGCAGCGGCCCCTAACCCTAAAACAAGCTCCAGTCCTGTTTACCTCTCAAAGTTTTTCATCGGATTTTGTTTACACTTTCTGAATTTTGCCTTCTGTACTGCAATGGCAGCACTGTCCCTTCCTAAAATTAGTCTCAGCAGTCCCTCTGCCAACATCACTTCTCTGAGAACACATCAACATTATATTTCCTCCCTGAGATAAACTGCGGTACAATACATGGTTGTTAATGTCTTTTATGTTCTGATAACTAAGAATTTCTATTTACTTTATGATAGTTTAAGCCTTAAAAAGCCACAGACCTGTACGAGGTAATGAACAAGCTCCAGAGCCAGGGCTTTAAGATCACAATGAATTTCTTCAATTCATCCTCAAATATGAGGAATATTTTGTTCATACGACCCCGTCTGTTCTTACAAAAAGAAACATAAATGAAGTCTCTGAGTTAGCTCGAAATTTATATATCGCCACGGAGCATAAGCTCCGCCATCTTACCGACTATAGCTCATTGATCCAAACTTTTTTCACTAAGATACATTGTCCTCGTTATGAGCAAACACTTACCGAAATGGCCTCTGCGGCTCTGCCTACGATGGCTATACATTTTTCTACCTGCATTTCTGGACTTTGAGATGCACTTACTGGAATAGCTGCTAAGAAGATAAGTTGCAAGAGCTAACTTCCCGCTGCCCAGCAGACTACTCCATAACTAATCTAACCACAGGGGGGAGGGGAATAAAGTGCAAGAAAAAGGAGAGAACACTCGTTTGCCTTAGTCTATCTAAGTGCCAGTAAGAGTAAGCGTCCTGAGTCCTGACTCTTCCCAAAAGAATGCTTTATGTGAGTGCTTGCACCTTAGCTAAGTTTAGCACCATTGACGCTCTTATTCCGAATTAAAATGCTTCCCTACTGTGTAGGGTCTCTCCACTATGGCACTCTCAGAAGTCAGAACTGTAGAGTACATGTGAAGGATGTAGAGGTGGAGGCCTAGAGCATTTATGCTTTGATATAAAGAATATGAATCCGGATGTTTTCATTTTGCTTCTTTTTCTATCACATTATTATGTAAAATTTTAGTAAAACAAAATGGTCATGAACCAGATAAGTCAAAATATTTTATTTTTTGTAATGATAAAAACACATTAAAAAGATACGAGTATATTATATTTATACCACTATTCCAGTGATAGGGGAACTCTCTACCTGTAAAATATAGAGAGTTAGCATTTGAAATTCATATTAGGATAAATCACCTCATATATATTTAGTTAATTGGGAGAAGTAGTTATAGAAGAAGAACATGTTAACAAAAAGTTTGATCACACGTGTTCCCAAAAAAATGATTGACTTTCACAAAACAGAGAGGTTTATATTAGGATTGCACTAAATCTTATGATGAAAATGAGAAATCACAATCTCCAAGGTTTAATGGATAGATCTACATTACTTCCAATCAGATTTAGAATGTGTTTTGCTATTTTTACCTTGATTGGTAGATGTTTAGTGTTTTATCTTAACTACTATAAACCGTTATGTGAGAGTTTCATGTGCTTTGTTGCATTACCAAAAGCATGCCTGGTTTCACTTTGCTTCTTATACTTTTATATGATTCGACTTTCACAAACTAAATTTAAATAGACTTGGTTTGGAAAAGGAGGGATTCATTTTCATTTAGAAGATATATATATTAATAATCTATCTTGAAGCATTTTGTGATGTTTGTTTCTCATTAGCTCAAACGGCATGGTAATAAAGGTCTCTTCAAAAACATATTTTTATTTTACAAAATTTGATAGCTCATACGTTTTTTAATCTTAAATGACCTATATTACTTGCAATGTGGTTTTAGTTTGAATTGACTTCATTTTGTGTGGATGGTTGTACATTGTAATTAGAGAAATGTTTATAGCTTATACTCTTTACCTAATTCAAACTTATTTCACTTTTTTTCAATTGTGGAGTTTGACGTGTATTTCATAAATGGGGTATATGATATTGGCATCTACTCAATCGCGCATCGCGCGTATAAAAAGTAGTGAACTTGATAAAATTCAAATTTATAAAAGAATCAAAGGTTAGAAGAGTTACAGGCAATAAAAGAGAAAATGTTCGGGACTCCGGGAGGGATAAACTTGGACATAGCTAGAGGCATTCAAGCGCCACTGCGCCAGCCACCCCAATCTTCATATATATTGTGATGAAAAGATACGTACTGAGTAGTACTTTTTAGACCATTAGAGCATCTTCAATGCTGCAATGTGCACGGTGCACATGTGGCATGTGAGATAGCCACATAAATATGAGTAAATAAATTATCCTTCTCCTTATTTGAATGATTTATTACAATTTTGGTAATTTTTCTCTGCAATGTCAAGGAGACCGTCTAGATGTAGACATTGTGGTTGACATTGTCAAGAAAAGTTACCAAAATTATATAAAATCATTCAAATAAGGAAAGAAATAATTTATTTATTAATATTTATGTGGCTATTTGTCATGCCACACATGCACCGTGTATATTATATCATTGAAGATGCTCTAAGTGTTCGGTTTAATTCATGTTCAAGAGATTTGGGGAAAAGTTAGGAAAAAAATTCAACTTTACAAAACAGTGTGCAGTGTTTTAGAGCTCGTTTGGCAACACAAAAGTCGGTTGAATCGGCTGATGCTGCTGAAATTTATGAAGTTCTGATTGAAGTGGCTGGATTAACTGATTCAGCTGATTTATGAAAAAATTATATATAAAATACTTCGTATGTTTTATTAATAAAAAAAATAATTACATGAAAAAGTAGTTAAAATGACCCTCTATAGTAACTTCAGTTAATACAACTAGAAAAGTAATTTCAACATTACATTTTCTTACACAACTCAACGTCCGAAATAAAAAATTACGTGTTTGATGATTAAGTTGGCTGATAAGTCCGATAAATAAAAAAACAGTGTCACAAAACGACCTCATATATTCGAATATACTCCATAATTTTTAGACCTTTATTGTTTCTTTTAAGGTCATCCTAATAATTCAATTTCATATGTGGTTTAATATCTCACGATTTTAGATTGGATTAATTAACCAAATAGGAGAAAAATATTGGAGATATGTAAAAATGAGAGTAGAGTTTCAAAATTCTCCAAACAAAAATATTTTCTTGTGACAGGACAAAAATGCCTCTGCAGGTGATAGCCCCTACTCAATGCCAACACTGCCACCCGTCACCGCCGCTCAGATTTATGCAGCCAAATACGAAGTAGTTGCATACAAAATAAATAAGGGAAAACTGTCAAATAGGTCCTCGAACTTTCATAAAAAGTCAATTAAGTCTTTCTATAGGTGACTCTGTCTGGCCGTCGCGATTTGGGGTGGTTCCCGGTGGAATTTTTTGATGAATTTTTTTGAGCATCTTATTCATCAAGTCTAGTTTACTCATTCCAAATTTCAGCTAAAAATTCAATTGGGAACGTATTCAAATTAATTCGAGAACGCAAAAATGCGCAGTTATCTTCACGAATTAATTTGAATGTGTTCCCGACTGAATTTTTAGCTGACATTTGGTATGAGTAAACTAGACCTGATGAACAACATGCTAAAAAATTTTCATCAAAAAATTCCACCGGGAACCGCCCCAAATCGTGACGGCCAGACAGAACCTCCTATAGAAGAACTTAATTGATCTTTTTATGAAAGTTCGAGGATCTATTTGATAGTTTTCCCAATAAATAAAGCTGAATTTGCTTTTGGAATTGAATTACTTGAAATTATACAAGCCAGCCAACTATTATAGGTATTTGGACTTTTGGACTTTTGAAATTAATTTCTTTTTCTATAATTCATCATAATTTTCAGACGTTTCACCAATTTTTTTTGACCAATTTCAACTCATTGAGGGTATTCAGTCATTTTGGATGTTACATTTCTAAGGCTTTGTTTGCAACCACTTGTGCTTAAATAAAAGTACTTTTTGGAAAAAAGTGATTAGTAGTAAAAGTTGGTAGTGTTTGGTAAAATAAGTGCTTTTTGTGTAATAGAAAAAGTAAAAAGTAGATTCTACACGGAAGCCGAGAAAGTAAAAGTTGGTAGTATTTGGTAAAATAAGTATTTTTTTATTAGAAAAAAACCAAAATCACTTTTTTTAAGTGATTGCAAACAAGCCCTAATTTCGGTTTTCAGAATTCAAATTTCTTTCAAAATGGGTTGGCTGGGTGGATAGAGCAGGGACCCGTTGACCCATTCCGCTCTGGTGACGAACGTGGCAGAGAGTGAAAAGATGGACCATGAGCTTCTTTGCTCTATGACCAAAGTTAGAGCTGAAAGTCAAAGCATTTTTCTAAAGAAAAAAATATGGAGTATTCATTTTTTCCCAGGATAAACAAAAGAAAACCGAGATTGCATTTCTTTCGAATTTCCGGTAATTGATCAACCCGTTCTCTCTTCTCCCCATCACCTTTTCGTCTCATTTCCTTTTCACTTCACACTGATATACGCAGGTGATGTGAAGTGGATGAAGGGTATCTCACTATTTCATTCTCTGCCACTTGTGTGTGCTAAGGTTCGGATTGAAGGAAGCGAGCTGGAGTGATAATCTTGGGTCTTCACTGTTTCTCAGGCATCGGTACCACAGCTTCTTTATTGCTTTTGGTGCTCGTTATGTGTTCGTATGTTTGTCTGGGAATCATCTTCTTATTCCTCAAGCTAGCTGTATTATTGGCGGTACTTCTGTGTTATTTGATTAGTGTCTGTTAACTCCACGTGAAGTGGTCCTTGCAATCATTGGCCACATTCAGTCAATCATTGTCTTTCTTTGATCAGTAAAATTTGGATTTCTGTAGTCCTGGCAAAGTGATCTCATTTCCATTTGTTTGGGTATTCACACAGAAAGATCTCAATTTACTCTCTTAGTGTTGGACTTGAAAGAAACTCCAAGTCTTAGTGACTATTTGGTGCACTGTCCCTCAGATTGCTAAGTTTTAGCCTCTTTAATCCTCTGCACTCAAAGTTATTCTTGGGTTTTCATTGATTTATTTGTTGTTTTAAGGTTTGATCGGTCATGGGCTTTCAGAGGGACAAAGATGGGAGGATTAATGGGTTTTTACTAATTTATCTCTATTTGTTAGATCATGCATTTCTATATAGTTTTTTAATCCATAGTTCTTCTAACAATCTAAATGTATAAATGATTAAGAATTTAAAGATCACCTCTCTTTCCCCTCCTCTCTGAAATCCCCAAACCAAACAAGTCCTTGGGGGCGGGGGGAGCAATCAGGAAAATGGTTTTGGAAAGAAGAAACAATCTGCCTCTTTATATCACCATTAGATTCATTGTTTGGTAAAGCTTAGTGATTAGAACCTGCTTTTTTCTAAATATGCAGGTAGAAGTAGCTTTGAAATCCGAAACATGATGCATAATGATGGGAATCCTTCACCCCAACCAGAAAAGGGTTCCAACATAGTCACCATGGCACTCATATCTGTTGTGCTATGCAGTCTTTCATTCTTTCTTGGTGGAAGCTTCTGTTCTCAAAATCAGATTTTTCTTCTCACTAAGGATTTTTCCAATGCCCTCACATCTCCCAGGGAAACTGTTCTTAGCTCACTGCAATTGAATTCCACTTCCTTTGCAGAGTGCAGTCCTGACTTGCAGGACTACACTCCATGCACAGATCCCAAGGTCTGACTCTATAAACAGCATCATAATTTTAAGGGTCTGTTTGGATGGAGGGCTTTGTCTATATCTTCATATACATTTGTGATTTTATAAAATTCAAAGATTCCAATAATATGTGATCGTGTAGTATTACAATCACCTTGTATTCGTTTAAAAAAAAGTATGTACTAAGAGTCTAAGACACAGAGTAAGCTCTCCAAACCGTTCTTCTCCAGTACCCTCTATCCAAACAGACCGTGAGGTGATCTTTGCAGATGAAAGCTGTAATTGTATAATTTTATATAAGAATAACGAATGACATATTGTTCATATGACAGAGGTGGAGGAGGTATCGTTCTCATCGACTATCTTATTTGGAACGCCACTGCCCTCCAAAACATGAAAAGAAAGAATGCTTAGTTCCACCGCCAGAAGGCTATAAATTGTCAATCAAATGGCCAAACAGTAGAAATGAATGTTGGTACAGGTAACATGTTCATCATCGTTATTACTTATTACCTTAGACTCTCAGGCTTAGATATCCTTTGGATAAATCTATTTGGATCCCGGATTGAATTTCCATCCAAGAATCGAGCATAACATACTGTTTGGATCTTTGCTTCAGGAATGTTCCATTTGATTGGATTCTTAAGAAAAAATCTAATCAGCATTGGTTGAGGAAAGAAGGAGAGAAATTTATTTTCCCTGGAGGAGGTACCATGTTCCCATATGGTGTCAGCCATTATGTTGATTTGATGCAAAACTTGATTCCTGCAATGAAAGATGGGACAATTAGGACTGCCATTGATACTGGGTGTGGTGTAAGTGCCTTCTGTTTTCTTAAAAAACAACCTTCCAACTATGTTTCTTTACAAGGCAATAAATGCTCTACATCAAACTTCTAGAAAATAAATGATCCATAAGTAAAATAGTCATTTTATTGTCCAATCAATGGCATACTTCAGACCCACATAACAAGCGTAGAATACAAGTCACTCTCATTTTCAGCGGTTTCTTACTTTTACTGACACTCTTACAAATAAATCCTTTTTCGGCCTAGGCATGAGTTTCTGCGCATTTTCTCAAAAGATTGTAGTGAATGATTGCACCGAAAGCACTTTTATTCCCTTTTTAACTAGATTAAGAATCTTAGAGCACTATTTAGAATAATATTATGTACCTGATAGAGTGACAGTTAATAGGTTGCAAGCTGGGGAGGGGATTTGCTGGATCGTGGGATTTTAACAGTTTCACTTGCACCTAGAGACAATCACCAGGCTCAAGTTCAGTTTGCGTTAGAACGTGGAATACCTGCAATTTTAGGGATTATCTCAACACAACGCCTTCCTTTCCCTTCAAGCTCTTTTGATATGGCTCATTGCTCAAGATGCCTGATTCCTTGGACTGAATTTGGTAACTGACAGATGCCTAATTGGCTAATTGTGATCTTTTTTGCGTTTAATCACGCCTTAAGTTTTCAAATCAGCATGTAGAATTAGTGGTTGCTTAAATACTTGCACAAAATTGGTTTAGTTGTTGATGACGACAAATCTTATTCATGATGACAAAAGGCACATAAGGGGGGAATCAGGTCAAAACCCTCAAAAAAGAGGGAAAAACCTCCAAAAACAGAAGCGGCCAACAAACCGGTAGCGTAAACGCAGGACTTGTCTGATGTAAGGGATCTCTTTTTGTTCAACATACCCAGTTCCTTAGCCTTCGTGCTCGGTTCTTCAAAGGAGTTGAACCTCAAGTTGTTGAAATTATTAACATCCTTAGCAATTTCATCAGCCTAAGTGTTGCATTCCCGATAAGTAAATGGGAAAGCAGTGTTTAAATGAGCAGCATGAAATTTAACTTTTTCAGTAGCTATTGCACTTCCGATGACCCAAAAACTTGATTAATATAGTTAATAACTCCCTCTTGGAATCAGCTTCAGAAAGGACCCAATCCCAACCCTTGATTTTAGCAACTCTATGGCCTATCCAGATTGCATAATGCTCTGCTATCTCAGTGTTGCACTTGTGGATCCTGCTACAGTAAGCTAAAATCACCATAGCATTCATATCAAAACTGTTATGTTTATCATTGGCATCTGAGTTGTTTTTAGTCCAACCTGGAGGTTTCTTCCATTGAAGCTGCATAATATCTTTTTGCAGGCTATAACTGTTACGAGCGTGGTTGGGATCTCGTTTTAGATCTAGGAAATAGAGAATATGAGAGGGGAATAATAAAATAAGCCTGAGCTAGAATTAATTTGTGCCCGACCTTGTCAAGACACAAAAGAATTAATTCTTCCCAAGCCGTTTATTTAATAATACTGATGTCCCTTATATATCTATTACAAGAGTCCTATTTAGAAGAGGAAATAAATGCTAACTAAGAAGTTGCCTGAAGCAAAATAGGAATAATAATAAAAGGAGATAAATGCTAATTAAGAAGCTGCCTAAAGCAGAATATGAATAATTATAGGAGATAAATGCTAATTAAAAAGCTGTCTAAAACAGACATAGAATTAATAATAATAATAATAATAATAATAATAATAATAATATTAATAATAATAATAGTAATAATGATAATAATAATAATGATAATAATGATAATAATAATAATGTATTGTTTCTTGACTTCTTATACCATATTAATAACCTCCTTTGAGATATTATATCCTGACTTGAGATGGTTGATCAATCCTTCAACTTGTTGGATAGTCTGGTGTTTTTTTCATCCTACCTTGCTTATTGTGTTGGGGCTTTTGTAGTGCCATAAAGGTAGCCTTCAAGGCTAATACCAATCAATGCTGTCTGGATTTGTTTTCTCCATACATTTTTTGGAGTTTGTAATTTGGATGGAAAATTGACAAAAACAATTAATTCAACTATGGAGGAGTGACCGTAATGTCATTAACTGTGACGACCAGAGAGAAGGAAATCATATTGATTCATTAGGGTTTTGTGGCTCTTGATAACATGTACGTAGTATAAGATTGATGAAAGTGAGGAAGCTTGTATTTCATTCCATCATTACACCACTTTAAATGCAAGAGAAGTATAGCTACAGTGACTATTTTTATGGGTAGTTGCCGCAGATCATGGTGGTAATTGAAAACAATTCAAATAAGCTTAAATAGATAACAACTACTCTGTATACTAAGTCAACAAAGCTATCCTTTGATAGGGCCCTGGGCTGTAGAGAATAATAATAATAGTGATAGATTGATATTAAATAAGTATAGTATTGTATAAATAAGTATTCTGGCCCATGTCATATAATATGGGCTGGGCCGTTAGAATAGAAATACTATAAGAGTGGGAAGGAGGGGAGGAAGGAAGTAGGAAGATTTTAGAATTGGGAATTCGGTTCTGGAGAGTAGAGGCCTCTCGAAGTGCCCTGTCTTGTATCGTCTTCACATATTGGAGACCCGATTACATCTGCAGAACTTATGGATAGAACTCAAGGTCCTGAGGGTGTATTAGGTGCTGATCTGAAAAATGCAGTCCATGAAGGAATTACTATACCTTGGCAGTCCAACTTAAGAGCTACCACTGCATTTAGGAGGACCTTGAAGGAAGGGATGTGTGTGAACAAGGAGGAAACTGAGGAAATAGAAGAGGAGAATGATGGAAAGAAGCCTCAGGTAATCATCAACGCAGATACTGATGCTACCGAGGATTGTGGATTAGATCCGAGCTCTGAATCAAACTCGAGTTATCAGGTTGCACCAAAGAAGAAGTTAGTAGGGCATCTTACTGTTTTAAGTAAGGAGGTTAAGATTGTCAATATTGGAATACTTGCTGGTGGCTCAGGACTAAATCTGTCGGCAGTTCAATATGTTATCCTTTTGGGACTAACAAGGGCAAAATAATGCAGTCAACCTGTATATTCTTTATGCAAAGGATGCCTCGGATGGAGCTCATTGGCAGAACTTGAATAAAAGTTTGCATCGAAAGTATGTGGCAATCCAGGAAATAGAAGTTGATATTGTTTCTAACCTTGAAAGAACTGCTGGATTTGAAGGGAAGCAGAATGAGAGTATCAAGATAATGACTAATGGTTATCAAGAGCAGAATGAGAGTTTTGCATGTATAATGAAGAATGATTATATCCTGGAAAAAGGGAACTTTAAGAAAGGTGCTGATAATGATGAGTCTGCATGGTTCTTCAACCTTAGGGCTATCGTATCTGAGGTGAAGAGCTTGGAAAGCATTAGTACTAGTGCAACTACAACAGCTCTAGACTCTTCCACTAACTTTTTGAGTGTTGCTATTGGAAACGAATCTGGCCAAGTTCCCTATTACATGCTTAGCAGCAGCTCTGGCTCTCAGAAAGCAAGATTGCATTTGCTCACTGAACCCAACGCTGAAGTTTCCCTTTTCCCACGTGGTGCTAGTCCCTCTAGCTCAAGATCTCTGGTCTTTTCTGCTAAGGCATCTGTGGGTCTTCATCAAAGCATTGTGAAACCAGAAGGTGGAACCTCATATGAAAGAGAGGAAGAACTTTCTTGGTGCTTAACCAGGGGCGGGCACATTATTTTAATGACTAGCAGCATTGGCAGTTTGATCAATTCGCAGCCAGCGCATCCAGAGAAGGATATTGAAAGAAAAGATCAAACAAAACCACCTGATCAGGAGGAACAAAACAATTACAAAGATCCTGAAAATCAGTGTGTTTTCCAGGCAAGCAAGCTCATGGTTCCGCCATCAGTTAGATACTGGGAAGGAAGAGGTGCTCGGATGAAGATAAGTTCAAGGTCAAGGCTGTGTCCTATCACCCACCTTGAGGACAAGGTGGTTTTTCAAGGGGGGAGATATGATAGGGCCCTGGGCTGTAGAGAATAATAATAATAATAATAATAATAATAATAATAATAATAATAATAATAGTGATAGATTGATATTAAATAAGTATAGTATTGTATAAATAAGTATTCTGGGCCATGTCATATAATATGGGCTGGGCCGTTAGAATAGAAATACTATAAGAGAGGGAAGGAGGGGAGGAAGGAGGTAGGCAGATTTTAGAATTGGGAATTCGGTTCTGGAGAGTAGAGGCCTCTCGAAGTGCCCTGTCTTGTATCGTCTTCATCGTTTCTGCCTTTTGAGCTCAATAATATTGATCGATCTATTGTTACTAAATCTGTGTACCTATCATCCTTTAATATATTAGTGTTAATAGTTAGGTATCCCTTAACATTTGCTTAATATTACTCTTAATGTCCCTTAACAAAGCTATCCCTTAATACACTAAGTCAACTAGGTAAGCTCATCTTCCAAGAATCCAAAGATGAACTTTGTCTGGTATAAGTTTTATATTTTATAGCAAAGTGCTTCCAGACATCCATATCTATACCATTTCTCCCTCTTTACGCTACTGTGTTACGTGTTCCAAACATACCTTTAACCTATTAATTAATAAGATCTTATTTTTCTTTCAGGTGGAATTTACCTTCTTGAGATACAACGAATACTTCGCCCTGGAGGGTTCTGGATCCTCTCTGGTCCTCCAGTTAACTATGAGCACCGCTGGAGAGGATGGAACACCACAATCAAGGAGCAAAAATCCAACTATGAGAAACTGGAAGAATTATTACTTTCAGTATGTTTCAAACCATACAACCAAAAAGACGACATTGCCGTGTGGCAGAAATCATCAGACGGCAGTTGCTATAACGATCTTGTTAGTAGTAATAATAATAACAACTTAAATAATAACAATAATAATAGTAATATCCACCAACCTGATTGTGATGATGGAACCGAACCAGATTCAGCATGGTATACTCCTCTCCGCCCATGTATTGTACAAAACGAACAAACTGATAAAAAAGTAGCATTAGAATCCCTTCCCAAATGGCCACAAAGGTTGCATACCCCTCCAGAGCGTGTTACTAATGTCCGTGGAGGAAGTGGTGGAGCATTTAAGCTTGATGATAGTAAATGGAAGGCAAGGGTGAAGCACTACAAGTTGTTGCTTCCTGCACTTGGAAGTGATGAGATACGGAATGTGATGGACATGAACACAATGTATGGAGGTTTTGCTGCGGCTCTCATTGATGATCCTGTTTGGGTCATGAATGTTGTTTCTTCTTATGACAAAAATACACTTCCCGTGGTGTTTGACCGCGGTCTCATCGGTACATACCATGACTGGTATGTGAAGGGATAGTATTATTGTGTTTTCTGTCATTTATGGTTCATTTTTGTATGGAAGCTATATACAGTTATATGCATTTGATGATTGTATATTTTTTGCAGGTGCGAGGCTTTCTCTACATATCCTAGAACCTATGATCTCCTTCACTTAGATGGCCTATTCACTGCTGAAAGTCACAGGTTAGCCATATTCAGTACCAAATTTATTACTAGAACCTATGATCTCCTTCACTTAGATGGCCTATTCACTGCTGAAAATCACAGGTAAGCCCAGCACCAAAGTTATTACCCCCTCCGTCCAGTAAGTAAAAAGAATCATGTTTGGTGAATATACTATTTTTGAATTTTGGAAAGGGAGAACTTTCATAAATAATGAATACATTTTTTATTTTTTTTACATATATATATATATATATATATATATATATATATATATATATATATATATATATATACCTTCATTTGAAATATAGCCAAAGATTCACTATTTTTTGGCTTGGTAATATGATGGAATAAAGCAAAATGACTCACTAAACTGGCTGCGCTTCTTTGTTATGAAGCAACGGTCAGTCCATGCAATTCTCGACGCAATTTTCATCATGGTTCATCCAAAAACAGCCTCTCTGTGCTTTAGTACAGGGGTAAGGCTGCGTACATCCGACCCCCCTTACCCCACCGTAGGTGGGAGCCTTTGCGGCACTGGGGGTAATGATGATGATGATGTTGATATATATTTACCTTCGTGGCTTAACCAACTTTTTTACATGAAACTTGTCGATGAATTTTTTTTTTAACTAGTTTTGTTTAAACATCACTCTTTTTTAGAACAAAAAGTTGCTTCAAATTGGACTCTGTTTGGGATGGATGGAGTATTACTTTTGGTGTTCTTATGAATATATACTACCATGGACCTATGTTGTCAAAACCGGACCGGGAGGCGACCCGGGCAAGGGACCGGGTCAAGGGTCAACCCGGACCCGGGAGGGTCATCCCGGTCAACGAATACTCAACCCGGTCAACGTTTGTTTAAAAATAAAATTATATATATATATATATATATATATATATATATATATACACAAATGTTCATCCTCCGTCCGTATGTTTTTGGGGGCCTTCCCGGTGGTAGTTTTTGCTCAAATTTTTTGTGTATGTTCCTCATCAAGTCTAGTTCATCCATACCAAATTTCAGCAAAAAATTCAATCGGGAAGGTCGTCAAATGATTTTTGCAAGTTAACTGGTCCGGAATATGTATTTTCCGGACCAGTTCACTTGCAAAAATCATTTGACGACCTTCCCGATTGAATTTTTTGCTGAAATTTGGTATGGATGAACTAGACTTGATGAGGAACATACACAAAAAATTTGAGCAAAAAATACCACCGGGAAGGCCCCCAAAAGGAGGAGGCCGGACGGCGGCTCCGGTCAGGTATACCTGACCGGAAGATTACTCTATATATATATATATATATATATATATATATATATATATATATAATGATGTATGCTGAAAAGTCACTCATTGAAAACTTAATAGTGATTATAAGCTTAAATTAAAAATTAATGTATAAATGTTTATTCAAATAATTTAAGATGTGCTTAGAATAGATGGATAACATTTGAACATAATATTTATATTTAAAAAAATTAAAAGTATGATTGATATATCAATGAATACTTCATGAATAGGCAGTAGATTTTTAATATAATACGGAGTAATAGAGAGCAATAGCAAATAATAGTTATTACGGAGTATTATGATTACTAACTAATAATTCATAATGATGTATTCAAAGTATACTATAAGAAAGCAAAGAGACAGAAGGCAAACAAAAACCAAGTAGGTGGGATGGTTGGTGTCTGAAGTCTTAAGTGTTGCGTCCAGGGTTCAAAACCCCCTGCCATTTATTAATTTTACTGAAGTAAAATCCTTCATCAGGCGGGTTTGGTTTCAATTTCCGGTTTTTCCCGGAAATTGACGGGCCGGTTCCGTCTAGGGGGTTTTGCCGGGTTGCCGGTTAAATCCGGTTTTAGGCTAATTAGCGGTTTACATTGGGCCGGACCGGTCTTACGGCCGGCGGGCCGGGTGGCCGGTTTCCGGGTCGGAACGCCCGGTCCGGTCTGGTTCTCATAACACAGCCATGGACCTATTAGTAATCTGAAATTCAATGTTCCTCCTTTCTAAGCAAGAGTCATGTCACCAAGGTGCAACTCATAGTAATCATTCATATTTTTAACTACACTGTTTCAACTAAGTTTAACTTTTTTGGGTCACTTTTTTAAAAATATGCATTAAATCTGACCAGAATTAGCTACTTTTGTTCAGCTATGACTTTTGAGGGCAGTTCTTTTGAAGAAGACATTTTTCTCCAACAGGAGTGCTTATTAAGTTATTATTATTTGACCAACAGGTCCAACACCCACCCCCAAATGAAGGGTGTGGGTAGTGGGAACTAAAATGAAAGTATTTCTCCCCTTTTTCCCATTTTTGTGGTTATTTTTTACCAGCCTCACTTGAGTTATTATGCAGATGTGAGATGAAGTATGTCATGTTAGAAATGGATCGTGTTTTGAGACCAAACGGGTACGCATTAATCCGTGAGTCCAACTATTACATAGATTATCTCATGACCATGGCCGAAGGAATGAGATGGAGCTGCCGCAAAGCAGACACAGAATCCACTGTAGATAAGGAAAAGGTAATGCTTTGCCAGAAGAAATTGTGGTATTCTTCTGTGCAGATATAACAGGGAGATAACAAAGAGAATAATCGCAATACCCTTGAAATATATAGAGCAACCTATAGATAAGGACAGTACTACGTGATATGCTGTATATCTGTCTATTATAGTCAAGTATGTTTTTTTTTGTGTTAACGTCATACTCGTTCTCTATACACTCGCATGTTTGTATATTATATATGTAGGGTTTATGTGAAATGAGAATTCCAACATACAATGAGAAGGGAAATGGTCAAGACTATGTTTTCCAACACCAGGAGGTAAGAGATGGAGATTAATGTCTAAATTCAGAGAAAAATTAAAGACTATTGTCTAGAGTTGAACTTTGAGGTGCTGAATTTGAACCACGAAGCTGACCTTTTGGCAAAAGGAGCTAAAAACCAAGGGCAAATAACATTAACGATTGGCGTAGTATTTGAATATCTACTAACCTAGCCATTTGAATGTGACTATAGAGCCGATTAAAAAAAATTATGGAACTAGAATGTATATGTTAAAGGTTAATTCTCGAAATATGAAGCTATAAATCTATCATTCATTATATAACACCGGTGAGTAGGGATAAATGTTTTTCTTATATGGATTTGTTCTGGGATGTATCAAGCTATAAATCTATCATTCATCTATTATTGCATTCAAATATTGTAATGCATCAACAACCCTGATAAACATCGTCAAAAGCTTATATATCCGCAAATTCGTTACTGCATTTGACTATGTTTTTCTGGCCAAATTACCAATTGGGTAAAAAATAGATGGTGTCTTACCAGATTGGTAAAAAAAATCATCGTAGACAAATTGGTAAAAAAAAAGAAGCCTCAGAGACAGTGGTCAAATTTTTTGAGTTAGACACTTTTGTTCCTCGATTTTAGAATTCTCGACATTTTAAATTTTAAGTATTGTGAAATTGACATTTTCAGTCCTTTCACTTTGATTAAAAATAACAACGGTCATGTTTAATAATAGTAGTTGTCTGTTGACTAATAGGTGGTTGAATCAGCAATTTGATACTAGCGGATTCCGTTAGATTTTTTAACTAATCGCTTTCATTAACGGTTTGAAATAAAATGTTAGTAACTTAGCTGTTTGCAATTAGTTTTTAAGACGCAAAATGATCATTAAGGATATGAATTTAAAAGTTATATATTTAATTAAAAAATCTTTTATTTTTAATAAGTCTTGGAAAAAGTTTTAAAAGTTACATTTACGTTTACTTTAAATGACCACTAACACTATCGTTTTTAACATATGTATATCAATGCGAGCACACACATATAGATTCAAATATTTTTAGTATGGGAAAGTTCCCGAAATAGGACTAAAACAATTTGAAAATTCCAAAATAGGACAGACATTGTTTTTATTCCCAAAATAGGAGTAATTACTGGAAAATACCGTCATGTTTGAAGTCTGGTACTGCCAAAACATGACAGTAATTAGTCTTATTTTGGAAATAAAAACATGACAGTCATATTTTGGAATTTTCAAACCTTTTTAGTCCTATTTCAGGCAATATCTCTTTAGTATCAATATTTTAAATATGACTATTTATTAATTTTTTTTAGAAAAACTACTCGATTCTGTTAAGTTTCTTTTAACTAATCACTTTCATTAGCGGTTTGAAGCAAAATGTTAGTAACTTAACTATTTGCGATTAAATGGTAAGACGTAAAATGGCCATTAAGCATATGAATGTAGAAGTATATATATTTAACTTTATTTTTTTAGTTTTAATAAGTCTTGGAAAAATGATAGTGTTAGTAGTTATTTAAACTAAACGAAAAATAAAAAATTTAAAACTTTTTTCAAGACAAATCCGTAATGATAATTTTACGTCTTTAAAAACTAATTACTAACAACTAAGTTACTAACAATTTATTTCAAACCACTACTGAAAGCGGTTAGTAAAAAAACCTAACGGAATTCGTTGACATTTTTTGGCCTCCCCTTTTAATGACAAAATCAAAGTAGAAGGACCGAAAAATGTCAATTTCACAATACTTAAAAGAAGAAATTCCACTTATAGTCCTTCGAGTTTTGCACCAATTCCACAATTAGCCCTCGTCTTTCACTTTATCCATTTTTGGTATTAGACTATTGTTTTCTTGACCATATATAGTCCTTTTTCCGGTAGTAAAAATGCCCAGAGATGGACCGAAAATGGTCAAGAAAACAATAGTTAGGTACCAAAAATGGATAAAGTGCAAGATGAGGACTAAATATGGAAATGACACAAAACTCGGAGCCTCGGAGGACCTAAAGTGGAATTAATTCTACTTAAAATATGACATGTCGGGAATTCTAAAATCAAGGAAAAAGTGTCTATCTAAAAAAATGATCAATTTGTCACTGAGGCTTCTTTTTTTACCAATTTGTCTCAGATGGTTTTTTTTACCAATCTGGTAAGACACCCTCTTTTTTTTTAACCAAATTACCATCTTTCTTATATAGTCGAGCACTGCATTTGAGAAACAGGGTTATGATAATGTTTTACTTTAGTGTTCTATACAGGTTTTCCTACAATATTTTTATGATGGAGAAAAATTGACTGCATTCACTTTGTTTATACTGGCATGAAATTGACTACATTCACTATGCTCATCGCGTGTTAAAAATAGAAATAATTACATAAACATGACCAAAATAAAGATGGTTTATAAAAATATGATTCATTACTAGAGTAATAATAAAATCATAGTAATTCATGTTTAAGTTTTGAACTTTAGTTACCACAGCACTACGTTGTAGTAATGAATAGTCATATTTATGTAAATAAGTTTTATTTTAGTAATATTCTCGTAAAAAACCCTTAAAAATATCATTTCATCCATTATCTTTTTTAGTCGTATTTTTATCATTATATTTTGTATACAATTACTTTTGTAGTATTGAGTAAAAACATTAAATATTCAAAAATAGGAGTATTGTATTTATATTCTCCAGAACAAGAGTAAATTACTGCAACTTTGAAAGCGTGTTGTCATATTTTGACACTAGGTGACATTAAGAGCATCTTCAATGCTAAAACGTTAACAGTGCATACGCGGCATGAGAAATGACCAATTAAAAAACAATAAATAGAATATCTCTCTCCTTATTTGAAGGATCTTACATCATTTTGTTAAGTTTTTCTTCACAATGTCAAGCACAATGTCTAGATGTAGACATTGTGGTTGACATTGCAGACAAAAACTTACCAAAAACACATAAGACCGTGGAAAGAAGGAGATAGAAATGTCATAAAATCAACTTTTTGTGCCTATATCTCTCATGCCACATGTGCACCGTGCACATTGTAGCATTGGAGATGCTCTAATAAGACAAAGTTATTGACATAATTGATAATATTGTTCAAGCAAGATAGTAAGGGAAAAATATACTACGTAATACTCTAAATTTCAATTTCACATTAATTACGCTCTTATTTAAGAGAGTTTTCGATGTAATATTACTTTGACACCACTCATACTACATCCTGACTCTATTCCAAATAATAGTTTCTATAGTGAAAGGACTATTAGCACAACGAATAATTCCAAAGAAGGATAATTAGAGAGGAATAAAGAAAATTAGAGTGTGTTTTTTTTAAAAAAAATACTAATTAAAAAAGTATCTACAAAATTAGGGTTGAGTTAAAACTATTTACAAGTTATATGGGATACTCGTATGGGAAGAATCAGTGGTGGGGCCCAAGTAAAATTAGGCCTGTCAATGGGATCCGACCCGGACCCGGTTGTTTTTAACGGGTGTGAGTCCTTATTTTATTCCGTTTACCCGGATCACCTGAACCTGGACCCGTTAGTACTTTTAATAAACGGGTCAGATATGCTACATATGATTCCGACCCGTTAAGGACCCGGACCCGTTTAAAATTTCTTATTAGTAATACACACACTAATGCATAAAGTGATTAATTATAATTCTTCAAATAAAAAATATAAACTAATGTATACACACACATACACACTAATACAAAAAGTTGTTGGTGTAATTATTTAATTAAAAAGATACAAACTAATACACACCTACCCAAGGTAGTCAAAGGCGTTAGGCGCACTCAAGGCGACAGGGTAAGCCTAGCGCCTGAGGCGCAAGGCGCAAAAAAGCGCTCGCCTGACTCATGTCAGGTGCACTGCTTAGAAAAAATAACACATACTATTCTCCAACAATCAAACATGATGTACCAGTTCACCATATTGAAGGAAATACATTAAGAAGTCATGTTTCTTACAAATAAAGTCATGCCTCACCAAAATAAAGTCACGGTTGACCAAAATAAAGTCACGATTAAGTGATTAAGCAAAATAAAGTCATGACTCATGATTCACTTAAAGTCTTAAACACTAAAACTAGAAAATAAAACATAATTAGATTTTAGTTTTGCTGCCCAACTGCCCATTTCCTGCAGGACTATTCGTCATTAAAATCCGAGTCTGTTTGTTCTCCATTTCCTGATTTATATCCTCCTACATCGTCTTCAATTTCTCTATCACTTTCCTCATCCACAAGCCTACGACTAGTACTTGCACTATGAATTGTGGACTGCCTTCTAGTATATTTTAAGGGTTCTTCCGCTCCTGTTGCTCTACTCACAGCACCCCATGTCAAGCCATCATCTTCCTCATCACTGAAAACTAAATCATCTACAACACTTTGATGATCCGTGTTTCCAATCAACCACTCATTGCAATCATCTATGTTGTCTAAAGCAATTGGATCTGTGATATCTTTGGAGTCAAAACGAGCTTTCAAAGTTGCATTATACTTCACAAAAACTAAATCATTTAGTTTTTGCATTCCTAACCTATTCCTTCTCTTTGTGTGAATCTAAAACATACAAAAATAAAAATTACTTCTTTTAGTGCTTTAAGTGTTCTAACTTTTAAGTGTTTAACAATTAATTCATAGGAGTGCTGATTAAAATGTAGTTGTTCAAACACACTCCAGTTACGCTCACAACCTGAAGCACTACACGTGAGGCTAAGAACTCTCATGGCCAATTTTTGTAAGTTGGGAGTTGTGCTCCCATACAAGCGCCACCATTCAGCTGTATATATGACAAAAAATCAGAATATTTCATTAATATAATTGCTGCATTAATCTGCCAGATTGTATATATGACAAAAAATCAGAATTTATTCATTAATATAATTGTTGCATTAATCTGGTTGTCTAGCAGATTGTATATATGACAAAAAAACAGAATTTATTTATTAATATAATTGCTGCAATGCTGCATTAATCTGGCAGACTGTTACAAAGTATTAATAAAAAAACTGCATGTTACCTGGTGCCTTGGTCTTTCTTGTCAAAACTGCCAAGTTGATGCCAAACAAACACTCAGCCCTTGTGTACTTTGACAGTTCATCAATAATAACAAGCTGTTCTTCATCCCCGAGAACCAGTTTAGCTATGCAAGCATATAGTCCAGTCGTGACCTCACTATTGAATTCAATTTGAGGATCGGCATAAAAAAAGGCGGGGTTGAGGTAATGGCCAGCTGCGTGCAGTGGATGGTGAAGCTGATCTAGCCATCTAGAATCAATGATTTTGAATGTTTCTTTATAGTTATCATCTCTTCCATTAAAAGCTTTTATTATGGCTTCTTTGGCTCTATCCATAGCCTCATAAATGTATCCCATAGCTGATTT